AGCGCTTGTGCTCCTTTCTCTTTCCTTCTAGTTGTAAGACTTCCGTTCAGCCAGCTTTCCCGTGGTTCTGGGAGATAGACATTTTGTCTGTAAGTTGTAGTTTTGAAATTGTTGTGCACAGCAGCAGATTAGTTGTTTCCTTTGCCGCCATCTTGGTTTTCCTTGCTTACAGTCTTAGCTGCTCCTCAAATTGGGAAAGGATTTGGTTCAGGGATATAAAACTACTTGAACCCAGTAATGCAACAAGTGTATTTAGAGAGTGACTAACTCAAAAGACTATAACCAGTGAGACTTATTTTCTTTGTAATTCTTTCTCCTTTCAGGAAGTCATCTTTGAGTTGTTGATAACAGTAATAATGACTAACAAGCAATTGCTATGGGTTGTCCAGGCACTAATTTTAGCAAAGTGCATGTGGTAATGTCATTCATTTTTAACAACTCTGTTGAGCTAAGTAACAGTGTTCTTATTTTATTTTTCATTATGAGGAGACAGGTCCAGAATGGTTATACATTAAAGCACTTTCACAAGTCCCGCAGTAGGGGATACAGCAGGCATTCAGGCCAGGCATTCACAATCGGAGCACATACCCTTAATCCCTCTGCTAGAGCTGAGTTTATAGTTAGAATAAGAAGGTGAATTTAGAAACCATTTCTTAAGTGGCGAATTAGCTGAGAAAGGAAAACTATATGCAGATACTGATTAATGTTATTATTTGGTATATGTTGTTGTTTTAAGTGAAGACTACCATTTGAAGCTGAAAAAGAGGCATCCTTCTCCCTACAGATCTCTTATCATTCAAGAGTCTGCCCTAAGTGCTTGGTTCAGTCCCAAGTGGAAACTGTTAGGTCTCTTAAGCCCTAAACCCAGAACCAACACAGTTACTTCCACAGTATTCAGATGATGAAATTTGTGCAAGGGGCTTGGCCCTCGCAGCCTCAGCTTCGTCTGGAAGATCATCCGGAAGGTCATTTAGCTATCTGTCTAACTAGCATATTACACTTTTATTATTATAGATATATGACTTGGAGACCTCTGCATCAATATATTTTTTTCTCCAGACATCAGCCAGATTCTGGAACAGAGAACTTTATAGTAGGTCCTCACTTTTGTGTTATTTATCACTCTTCTCTCAAACAACTTAAAAGTCCTAAGTTTATCATCCATGTAGGATGATGTACTTATGTATAGAATGAAAGTAAATAGAGCCTCCATAGCATGCCTCATTTAGGTGATGGAGCCGAGAGTGAAGCCAGAGTTCAGTAAGAAAATTCCTTATAAAGGAATCTGGGAGTTTATGCCAACATTTAGTGTGAGGACTACTATTTGCACTGCCTCTTTTCTATTTAACTTTTTTGAGTTATGTTATTACCTTGAGTTTATTTGTTCTCTGAGGTGGGCTCTGTTCCACATCACAGAAACATGAAGATAAATGACCATACTCTAACTGGGCAGTGTTACACTGTTAGAGGCTTTTACAAGAGGAGGTGAGGGCATGAAATAGTGCTGGAACGCAAGTGAAGTTTTCATGAATAATTTGGAAATACCCGGTGATTTTGCTTTAATTTCCTTAATATTTGTAATGGACATCTTAGAAACCCAGTTTGTAGATGATATAGTATGTTGCTGTCTCAAAGAAGATAATATACCATGGAAAGCCTGTCTTGGGTACCTTTCAAGAATACAGGAGTAAAGTATCATTAAAAGATGGAATTAATCCATGTCATAAATTTTTTTCTGGAAAAGGAGTCTTGCAAACTCAATTAAAAAAATTTTTTTTTTAATCCTCACCTAAGGATATTTTTCCATTGACTTTTAGGGAGAGTAGAAGAGAGAGGGAAAGATGAGAGAAACCAATGTGAGAGAAATACATCCATTGGTTGCCTTCTGCACATTCCCCAACCAGGGCTCAGTCTGCAGGCAGGATGGGAGTAAGGGGGGAGGGAAGAGAGAAGCCTGCAACCAAGGTACATGCCCTTGCCAGAATTGAACCTGGGACCCTTTGGTCCGCAGGCTGATGCTCTATCCACTGAGCCAAACTGACTAGGGCAAACTCAAACTTTTGTAGAAATTCCACTATAGTCTCTATTAGTAGATTGTCGATTTCTTAAATAACTTTGTGTTTTCTGAAATGGCAGTAGCAATAGTATAGGTAGAGAAGTAGATTGCCTAAAAAGGGAGGACAGCTGATTATGGATAGGCAACGCCAGTTGATACATACTCATTTAGGTTGAAGCTGAGAAGAGAGTGATGCCTGCCCACGAGATTGGCTGAAGCCATGTAGGGGAGGGCTTTAATGCCTTGCTAAGGAATTTGTGGAAATCAAACGTGGTATGTGATTAGAAAACTGGTGTTGCTGCATTATCTGGTCTGGATTGGAGAACCTGGTGGCCGAAAAGGCCGTTCTTTCAGTGGAAGGTGATAAGCACTAAGTTAAATTGGCGCTGTGGGCATGGACAGTTGGAGAGAACAGGGCCAAATTGTGTGATATTATTCTACCCCGAGCTGATGACATCTCAGCATGAAAACTTGCTTAGTCTCTTTTTTAAACCTGCCCTGCCTGTTAATCTGCAGTGGTAAATAGTGAAATAATCTGACAGTTGAACTCTTCAGTTCACTTGATAGAAACTTCCAGTTGAATGGATGAATTGTTTTCAGCCCTGAATTGATAAACGTGTTCTTCTGAAGACTTTTCCAAAGGTTAATAAGGTTGCAGAACTTAAAAGCACACACTCAGACTGCAGAATTGGACAGTTTGTTTTGTATGAGTTTTGAAGCTGCTAGAACTTTCTATATTGGTAATTTGAAAAAATAGCTCAGTATTCCTAACCATTATTCTAGATGTTTATATATATATGTTTATATAGCATGATGTAATTCCTGTTATTATAAATGAAATGAGCAGCATCATTAGAAGTTTATAAGTTAACCAGACTTTAGTTCTGAAGAATGTTTTATGGCAAATGAAAGGCTGTTGAACTGACACCTTTTCTAAAACTGTACCAGGGCTGTTGGGAGCTGTAGCTGGAGGTGCTGAGGAAGCGATTGGTGACACAGCGAGGTTTCCGTGTTCCCTTTCATCACTGCAGTGAGAAGTGTGTACTGTTGAACAAATAACTGGAGAAATCGTGTGGTTCAGATCGTGTTGAGACTAGCAAAAGCCTGCAACCTGTTTTCCTAGCATCGCTGTTATCAGTGATCACAGGGAACTAACTGTTTTACTGAATGCCACCCCAAATTTGGTAACTGTCACAATTACATTTTGGATGCACTGGAATTGCCTTTGTTTCAGCTAACAGTGTTACATACTCCCTGAGAAATGATGATGATGAAACAGAACAGGTGGCTGGAGATCATTAGAACTTGAATTTGACTCTGATTTTTCTACTTCTTGAAAACGAACATGAAAAGAATAGTTGGTCACTCACTAAGAAGACACTGCATATCAGCAGGCTCACCTCAAAGTGCTCCTTAGAACACATTTATTTGCTCGAGTAGACTGTTGGGGATGTGTTTCAGCTGCTGTTAGGGGAACAGTAAGTCTCCAGTTGGGGTGGATGTGCTTCAGATGGAATCATTTACCCAACCTTTTGAATCAGTTTTATTTCTTCGATTAATGGTTTATGTTGTTAAATGAATTGGAGAGTGAGGCGACACCCTGTTATCTTCTTGTCATCTTTGTCTTAGCCCAATACTGGGCTGTCTGTAAGCACACGGAAAGCAAGCTTGTGCAGGATTTCAAATGACCCTGTGGGCTAGAAAGCAACCTGTCAGCATACAGATGAGGCTGGATTGTATGCTCTTGACACCCTTACACAAATCATGTATCTGGAATATTTTAGCTTGAGAATTGACTGAATGTGATTGGCCCCAACTGCAAGTAGCACTTCTTTATGTCTGTGGCATCAGTGTTTTTGTTATGTGCTTGATCAGTTACCAGGTTTCATTAGTGTACCTGTCATGTTTCACTTATAGCCAGATGGTATAGGGATATGTTTTTCCTTTACTTAGTTTATCCAGATTTGGTTATCCACATTTTACAGAGATTTTAATTTTGAAAAATAATTAGTGGAAGGCTGAATAAGTAGAGATGTGTTTGGGTGTTGTATCATATGTAAATACATGGTCAGCAGATATGACATGTATCATATGAAAGATATTACTGCTGGGAACTTGGATTCGGAGAAGGAGTTATTTGTCTCTTCTGTACTCTCATTGGCATTTTTAGGAGTTCCTGTCTTACAGTGTGTCATAAAACTTACCTTCAAAGAAGAGAAGAACTGGAAAGCTACCAGATATTGGTAGTTTGGATGTTCAAAACTCCTTTATGGATTTTGAAAGGTAAAAAAGTTATGTTATACAATTCTTTTTTCTTTTTAATCCTCACCCGGGGATATTCTTTCCATTGATTCCTACAGAGAGTGGGAGGGAGGGAGGGATATAGGAAGAGAGAAACATCTGTGTGAGAATTGTCTGCCTACCTCTCATGCCCCAGCTGGGGTGAGAAGTGAACCTGCAGTCCAGCCTTTGACCAGGAATTGAACCCCAAGACCCTTTGGTTCTAGGGCCAGTACACTGGCCAGAGCAGATTTACTCAATTCTTAATATTTTACTTTCATTGTATTTTTCCTCATTGTTTTGGTTTTTGGGAATTTGTAGCTGTCCAAATGGCTACTATAATAGATGGCTCTGTATCTTATAAAGCAGTATTGTTCTTACCTATTAAGTTTTTCCCCAGACTAGTTAATTTTAAGTTATTAGGTTTCTCAAGCATAGGATTAACAAGGCGCAATGTATTTGAGGCTTGCAAAAGTTTCAAAGGGAAGGACAGAATTTCTGATTGAATTTTGCTTTATACTTGGGCTTGCAGGAATTGTGGGAAGTGCTTCAGTGAAGAAATGGACCAGTGTGTATAATCATGGAGTCTCCTTGCTAACCATCACCACCTGCTCTCCCTGATACGTGAGAGAGAGTGGGTCTGGGGAGAAGGAAAGAGGTCATCATGAAGCTGAAGCAGCGAGTCGTGTTGTTAGCAATTCTCCTTGTCATCTTTATCTTCACCAAAGTTTTCCTGATTGACAACTTAGATTCATCGGCTGCCAACCGAGAGGACCAGAGGGCTTTTCACCGAATGATAGCTGGCTTGCGGGTGGAGCTGGCATCTAAGCTGGACCACACCTTGCAGTCTCCCTGGGAGATTGCAGCCCAGTGGGTGGTGCCCCGGGAAGTGTATCCTGATGAGACACCAGAGCTGGGGGCAATCATGCATGCCATGGCCACCAAAAAAATCATTAAAGCTGATGTGGGTTACAAAGGGACACAACTGAAAGCCTTACTGATACTTGAAGGAGGACAGAAAGTTGTCTTCAAACCTAAGCGGTAAGTCGTTATCTTACAAGTTACATGTGCTATTTGGTTGATATGTGTGATTTGGGATTGTGTAAGAGGGGTCATCTTCTCTTGGTTTTCTCTTCAGTAAAATGAGAGGGGTAGACTGGAAGATATCTGAAGTCTTTTCTAGGCCTTAATGCTCTGTGAGTCTTTGAGTAGGGGAAATTTTAGGAATATGATTTGGTTCCATTTAAGACAAGTTTTTTACAGTTAGAGCTCTCCTTCTAAATTTATCAAATATCTACTATGTTCCAGATGTTAGAGATACAAAATGAGTTGGTTAGGAAAGAAGCCAGTTGTCACCAAAACTGTGCAGGTAGAGACTAGATAACTCATGTTTTAGAGAAGGAATTACCCAGAACTGGAGTTGGTTTTGGATCAATGACTTAAGTTCCTCTTAGCACTGAAGCTATAATTCTTTCATCTGTGTTTTGTTCTTGCTTTAATTTTAAATGAATAGACTTTTTTCCAATCCTCATTCAAGGATATTTTTCCCATTGATTTTTAGAGAAAAAGAAAAGGAGGGGAAGAGACAGAGAAAAACATTGATAAGAGAGAGACCCATTGACCTTTCATTCCAAGGGTCAATGCTCTCTAAGCATGTCAAACTCACGGCCAGTAGACTGCATGCCTCATTTATAAATGTGGCCCGCTGGCTGCAAGTTTGACATGCTTGGAATCACTGCGCCAAGCCAGCTAGGGCTAGACTTTTTTTTTTTTTTTTTTTTTTTTTTAAGCAGTTTTATGTTTACAGAAAAATCGAGGGTGAAGTACAGAGAGCTCCTATGTATTCCCTCTCCCCAGTTTCTTATATTGTTATCTTGCATTTGTGTAGTACGTTTGTTATAATTGATAAGCCAATATTTATTAACTACTGTTCATACTTTACATTAAGGTTCACTTTGTGTTTTATATTCTGTGGGTTTTAATAAACATATAATGACAAGTATTCACCATTACAGTATCATACAGAATAGCTCCCCTGCCCTAAGCATTCCCTGTGTGCTACCTATTCATCCCTTCCTCTCCCTCTCCCTCCCCTCATTCCCTCTCCCTAACCCCTGACGACCACTGATCTTTTTACTGTCTCCATAGGTTTGCCTTTCCCAAAACCCCATAGAGTTGGAATCAGACCTTTTATAGCCTTTTCAGATCGGTTTCTCTCACTTAGCAGTATGCATTTAAGGTTTCTGCTTTTTTTAAAATATATTTTTATTGATTTCAGAGAGGGAGAGAGAGATAGAAACATCATTGATGAGACAAAATCACCGCTTGGTTGCCCCTTCTCCCCCTCTGCCACAAGCCCCCACCAGAGATCCAGCCCCCAAACCCCAGGCTCGTACCCCAACCAGGAATCTAACCTTAATAACCTGGTTCATAGGTGGATGCTCAACCACTGACCGACACTAGCTGGGGTCTCTGTGTCTTTCTGTGGCTTGACAGCTCATTTCTTTTTAGTGCTGAATAGTATTCCATTGTCTGTATGTATCACAGTTTGTTTATTCATTTCACCTTCTGAAGGACATTTTGTGCTTCCAAGTTTGGGCAGTTATGAATAAAGCTGCTATAAACATTTATGTGTAGGTTTTTGTGTAGTTGTAAGTTTTTAGCTCATTTGGGTAAATACCAAGGAGCACAATTGCTGAATCATATGTTAAGAATATATTTAATTTTATAAAAAACTGTCTTTCAAAGTGTCTATACCATTTTACGTGCCCACCAGCAATGAATGAGATTTCCTGTTGCTCCACATCATCCTCACCAGCATTTGGTATCTGTGTTTTGGATTTTGGCTATTCTCTTAGGCCAGTGGTCGGCAAACTCATTAATCAAGAGAGCCAAATATCAACAATACAATGATTGTAATTTCTTTTGAGATCTGAATACTGACTTCTGCGCATGGGCCACGAAGTTTCAATCGCACTTGTACGTACGCGCCCACACATAGTATTTTGTGGAAGAGCCACACTCAAGGGGCCAAAGAGCCACATGTGGCTCGCGAGCCACAGTTTGCCGACCATTGTCTAGGTGTACAGTGATATCTCATTGTTCCTTTTACCTGTATTAAGCAGAAAACAGGGCCATTTTAATTACCTTGGTCTAAACTTGAACTGGAGAGTGGACTGTATGTTTTAAACAGTTACCCCTTAGGACTTATGTAAGGATCTATGGAGATAATTTGTGTAGTATAATTACTTTTTTGAAAAATTTTCTGCAAGCATACTAGTATGAATTTGAAATAGGTTAACATGGTAATTCATACTCCTTTGCCAGGAATTAGTAAGGGGTGAATTTTCTCAAAGTTTGTAATATCTAAAATTTTCTGTGTACTAACTTTCCCCCCTACTTCTCAAAGGAGCTTTTGAAAGAATTAAAACACATACTTTGGGTTTCTTGCTGGAGTAGGAGAAGGAATACGGGGTAAAGATATACATAATTCAACTGTGAACAGAGTAGTTGGCTTTGTGCCTTCATTATCCAACTCTCAATAGATAATAGGCAGTCAGAGAACTAATATATTGGGATCCCAGAAACTGAAGAGAATCTGCATTTACCTGGAACTAGGAAGCATGATATATGGAAGGTGTAAAAAGTAGAGAAGTTTAAAAATGCAGTAGACTTTTGGCAAACACAAGTCTGATTGACAGGTAATAAGGAAAGAGTGTAGTTATATGGGCTTTGGGACCTAATTTCCAATGAATGCACACTCTGTGCCAGGCATTGTACCAACTACGTTTGTTTCTGTTAATGTCTCTAACCTTCTTCACAACTGTGAGCAGTCATAGTACTTGTTTCCAGAATAAGAAACTGAGGCTTAGGGGCAGTAACTAACCTGACAATGAATGGAGTTGGCGTTTGGCTCTGTTGGAGTGTGAGCAGCCTGTGGTGTGCTGCACACGTAATTCTCTTGTTTGCCTTCCTGAAAGTGTGATGACATGGCACACCCAGCATCAAAAATAGCTTGCTTAGTTTTGAAATGTGGTCTTTGACCTCTTGGTTTTGTAGTCTGAGAGATAAGCAAATAGATGAGTCGTGGGCATTTTGTGTTTAAATAAGAGGATATTCTCTCCACACCCACTGTTTGCATACCAGAGAATTGAGAGTGAGATGGGACAGCAGGAAGTGTAGAAGTCAGGTAGTCCGGGAAGTGTGCAGTATTAGTACCCGTCAGGTGCTTTGCAGGTACGCCTGGGTGTTCAGACAAGGTGCTAATGTAAGTGGAGGGAGAGGAGCCTGACTGGTGACTAGGGGAGGCGGTCTCAGATAAATGCAAAAATTAACCTTAATCGCTATTGCTTCATCTCATATCTTCTACAATCTTCTCATTACCTTCCTCTTCCAGAACATACTGAACACTTTTATTCTTTCCCCAAACCCATATTACCCCTGTGCTGCCCAGCTTCCAAACATTCAGGGACTTTTCAATGCTCACTAGACCAAACCAGTGACCACAGCCTAATAGACCCCCCACAGTCTATTCCTCCTCTCTGCACCCAACTTTTTATTTCTGTTGGACTGGTCCCCTTCTCCTCACCACTTCCTGAAGAGCCTGAGTCCACCCCAGCTTCAGGGGACTGTCCTCCCCCGACCCAGCAAGCTGCAGGGCCCCTGCAGTGCGATAGTGCTGAGTCCCTGCACACACTGACCTGCGCTGACTCCACCTGGCACTGTCGCAGACTCGGGAAGGTGGCTGTACGGTTAAGTGCTCGTAGAAATTGATTCCAGTCCTGAAGGACCCAGCACTTGATACTGTGACCCCGGGGACTTCAGAGACTCTTTAGTCCTTGTGTAAGTGCAAATTAATGTCCTTGGTCAGACTAATGCCCTTCGCCAGAGGGTAGGAGTGATTTATTGGCCGTTACTGTATGAATTTTGCTGCTCTGTCAGGGACTTAAGATGGATCACTGTGCTGAGAGGAGGAGCTGGGTCCTCACTGCTAATGGAGACTTGCCCCTTTCTGTACAGCCGTTGTGGTTCTGGCTGTGCTGGAGCCTGTTGTCCATGGCCTGCTCTCTGAGGTGGGGATGGAAGATAGATGATATGTGGGACTACAGCGACGCTTTTATTTACACATTTTGCCTCACATAAAAGTGATTTTTTTTTTCTTCAATGTAGTTGTCTCCATTCTGGAAGTAAACTGTCACAGGCACATATTGTAGTTATGGTGAGGACAAGATGGCAGGGGCCGGAGAGTGGGTAGAAGTGAGGGAGTGATCTTAGGGTGTGCTGAAGGGGGCGCGGGAGCTCAGCTTATCCAGCTTCTCACTTCATGAGACCCAGAGTTCTGACGCCACATTTCACACACCTGAAACATGAGCTAAGGGTTTGGACTTTCTGACTCCTGTAAAGCTCTTTCCTTCTGATTCTTAGTCCTTTCTCTCCCCTTCCCTCCCCGCCTCCTCCAGCCCATCTGCAGAGTCCCGGGTTCCTCTGGTCTTACCTTTCCCTTGGAACAGCCTCTGCCTCACTAAGAGGAATAGATGCTCATCCCCACATGTTCCTGTGGCTCCACTGGAGTCAGAAATGAAGTGTCCAAGCACTGCCCCGAGCTTTACTGCCGCCTACAGCTGTAGCGGGGAGAGAGGTGCTGGAAGTGACAGCTTTGGCTTCAGTTCTATTTCAAAACGGACACTTTTAATTTGGAGGGGGCCAGTATAATCCTAGGAGCCTAAACCAGCTTTGACACTAGAAACAAAAAGATCCATTTGAGTATATTGACACGCTAAGGAGAAGCTGGTGTCCATCCTGGTGCTGATGCATGGCTGTCTTCTAGCAAAGTGTTTATCGCTTTGCCTTGGTAAATGTGTTTCGTGGACATGCTTTCATTTTATGTTCCACTCATTTAGGTTGAAGGTCATGCCTTTTCTAGTACCATTTCCCGCTTCCCCACATTCTTGTCAGCTTTGGAGATCCATGTGTCCTCAGCAGAGCACCTCTACTTCAGTCTGTTTATTTCTAGTTGACAGTTCCCTGTATAGCTAATAGGCCTCCTTTTGAAACAGGAAATGTAGGTGAGCATAGAGGTCAAAGTGAGTTAGGTGTCTTTTTTCTTCTAAATTAACAGGTTTAAACTGTATCTATTTTTATGATTAGTGGAGAGAAATATGCCAGTTTTCATTATCCTGTGTTTGTCATGCATATGATGTAGAATGGTGTTTGAGGTGACACAGATCTTAGAAATTGCCTCCTAATCAACCCCCTAGTGCTGTAGGTAAGGAATCTAAGGCCCAGAGAAAGGGTTTTGCTCATTGACTCAGGCAGCTAGCTCTTACTCCAGCCCAGTGTTTCTTCTGCTGTATCATCACAAACAGAGAGAAACAGACCAGCTCTTTTCGAATGCACCTTTGCCTACTTATTAACAGAAAAAGGTGTATCGGGACCATTTCCCAAGAAATTGAAACTTCTCTTACAAGCCTTTTGCGGTAGCCAAACAGCTATAGACCTTACCACTATTGTGGAGATACAAAGATGGTCCTTGCCCTCCAGAAAATTACCGTGTCGTTTGAAAGTCTTTTCAATGGGGTAAAAAATGACATCTTCTGAGTTTTATTAATAGAATGATTGCTGCAGTAGAGAGAGAACACTGGTTTCTCCTCCACTTCATCCTCACCCTGTCTACCAGTGACTCGTATCATCTACGATTGTCTCAGGGTTGACAGGGAAGATGTTGGGAGCAGAACCAGGCTTGCAGAAGTATCTGTGCACAGCCGCTGGTGCTGGCACTGTGGTACTGATGTGTTCATGTCTCCACCTGTGCTTCCCCTTCTCTCTGCAGGTATAACCGAGACTACGTGGTAGAAGGTGAACCCTACGCTGGTTATGACAGACACAATGCAGAGGTGGCAGCCTTTCACTTGGACAGGTACGTGTGTAATCACAGTGGTTTACTTGCATTGTTTCCTTGCAAAAATATCCTGGAAGAGAGGGCTAGTAGACTCACCCTCTTTCCCCTATAAAGGCTGTGACACTAATAACTTTGACTTGTTACCTACTTTGGAGAGCTGATTGACTGATTCCCTAAAATTTGTATGAATCCCTCATAATTAAGGTGGTACTAAGAATACCAAAATACATTTCTTCCCCCCCCTCCCCCATATATTTTTATTGATTTCAGAGAGGAAGGAGAGGGAGGGAGAGATAGAAACATCAATGATGACAGAGAATCATTGATTGGCTGCCTCCTGCAGGCCCCCTACTAGGCATCAAGCCTGCAATGCAGGCATGTGCCCTGACCAGGAATTGAACCGTGAATTCATTGAGATTCAGATGCTGCCTCTGGTCAAAAAACTTATTTGCATCAAAGGGTATGAATATTATTTGGGTATTTCTAGGAAGGACCATGGAGAAATAATTAGAAATTCAAAGATACAAATACCACAATCTTAGCTGTAGCTGGTAGAAATCAAAGAAACATCTAATGTCATGGGAAGGTTAAAATGTTTTGTTCACAGTCCCATAAATTTTCACTGCTTCGTTTAAGAACTAATGGGAAAGAGTTGGGTAAATTCTACCCATCACTTGATGGTACACTAGAATTAGTCTTTCCAATACCTCATTTGTTTCCCAATTCTCTTCATCCCCAAACCCCTCCCCGTTTCCCTATTGATGGATACCAGCAGTGCGTAAAGGTCGTTTTCTCACATCCATACCAATACTTTATATTATCCAACATATCAGTTTTTGTTCATCTAATATATGTAAGGTGGTATTTTGTAATTCCCCAATTATTGGCAAAATTTAGTATTTCCTTCTTTTCACAACATATCACCCACTTAATTTAGATTGGAGTAGTCTTTGTACAGAAAGACTACTCCAATCTAAATTAAGTGGGTGTTAATTAAATATGATAATGTTTCCTTTTATGACATGTGCTTTGGGAGGTCCTTCCCTACCTCAAAATCTGAAAAAAAATATTCTCTAGCCAGTTACCCGATCCCTTCTGTTAACTGCCACCTCTGTGACTTTGCTCATTGGCACTAAGCTGGCTGCTGGTCTTTGGCCTGATGATGGCCATTCGGGGAAAACTTATTTCCCACTTTTTCTCCAACCCGTGGCTCCTGACACGTTCCTGCTCTGCGGTGCCATCTCTTTGTTTCATTAGGATTTGACCACTATCTCTGGCCTCGGGAGGTTCTCTCTTTTTTATGATCTCTGCTTTTGTGGCTTTTCTAAGATTCAGTTTAGGACAAAGTCAGTCAGAAGCCCTGAACAATGACTTTTATTGCATAGCCATTTAAAAAATTTTTATTTAAAAAATTTGGGGGTGATAATTTAAGATATTTGTCAAGTGTGTAGTTCTGTAATACATCATCTGTATATTGCATTGTGTGCTCACCCTCTGAAGTCAGGCCTCTGTTCATCACCATACAGTTGACCCCCTTTGACACATTCCTTCCTCCCCTCACCCCCTTTCTCTCTGGTAACCACTGTACTACACAGCCGTTTTTAAAGGGTTTGTAATGACATGGGGAAAGGCTCCTACTATAATCAGTGAAAAACAGGAAACACACAACTGAATATTGTGTGTATATACACAGAGTGAATATGTGTTTATATATACTTGTAAAGGAAAATGCTCATATGCCAAAATGTCAGTTATTTCTGGATTTTGGAATTATGGGTGATCTTTATTTTCTTCATTATAAATTGTCTTTGTGTTCCAGATCCTGTCCCTCCAACATTTCTTCAGTGAGTGTGTATTTTTTTTAGACAGGAAATTTCATTTAAAGAAAGAATTATTGTGCTCAACCATAAAATTCTACTTTTAGATGGTTAGGAAAAAAAATCTATTTAATTTGTCTGTGGGTTTATCTTTTTAGATTAAACCATATTATTTTCTGTCAGTGTGCTGTTTTATCCAAAGCTTGGAACCCAAGTATGGATTTAGACCCAGGTTGTTTTTTGTTTTTGTTTTTATTTTACCTTTGTTAAAATTTATTTAAATTTTTTTATTATGAAAATTTTCTAACAAAAGAAGAATAGTATAATGAACTCATATACCCACTCCTTGAAATAAACAATAGTTTACATTTTTCCAGATTTGCCTTATCATTTTTGCTTATCATTGTATATTAAAATAAGTTACATACATCTTAATATTAAACTCATAAACATATGCACCTCTAAAAAATATTTATACCTGTCAACAATTCCTGTATATATCTAACATAATTACCCATAATTTTTAAGATTGCTGTTTAAATTGTATCCCCAAAGATTTTTCTCTTCTGTTCTTCATCCCTCCAAATCAGGATTCTGGGTTTTCGCCGAGCCCCGTTGGTGGTTGGCAGATTTGTTAATCTTCGGACAGAGATCAAGCCTGTGGCCACAGAGCAGCTCTTGAGCACCTTCCTAACTGTAGGTAAGAAGATAAAAAGAACTTTGAGTTGGTGGAACAGTTATTAAGTTAATTGGGGGTCATTGAGCAAGCTGGTTTGTGACTTTCAGGAATGGAATAACTGAAGGGAATACAGAAGCAAGCCAGGCAACTTGCTCTTGGATTACTGGGGGAAATGGATCTAAAGGTAGATGGCAGGAAACAAGGTTTTCCCTAACATGTACTTTGTTGTGTCTGTTAAGTAGGAAGTGAGATCATTTACTGATAATGTAAGTAGCTGGTAACAATTTCCTTCTGCTTGCTCTTAGCTAGACCACATACTCAATTTTTGGCCTAAAAGTCTTATTGTCTGTATAATGTTGGCTGGGTAGTTTTTTTTCATATACATGTACTTTCTTGGGATCTGTCTCCTTAGAATTGAGGAATCCTTAAGGCAACTTTGTGAGAAGGTCCTATGTATAATAGGATTCCCTTATAGGATTTCATCTGGCTGGAAGAGCACCACTGCCTTCTCTTCTGCAAGGGGTAACCTGTGACTCACATGCATGGGACTGGCTACAGTCCCTCTGGGCCCTGCTCCCTGGTGGTACCTCACTCTGAGCTAAAATTCTCACTCCTGTTCTTGTGGGCACAGTGAGAATTGGGACAGTTCAGAGGTTCTGTGGTCTCTTGCCCCAGCGGCTTCATAGTGACATTTTCAATGACACAGTGCTTCACATTATGACTTGAAACAGTCATTGCAAGATGAACTTAACCTTGCTTTGCTAGAATGAATGGGTTTGCATTTAAAATGAGGTGAAACTGAATATTTAAAAGACTTGTGAGAGATTCATCATGCAGAGTTTAAATTTACAAGGCTAGAGCTATGCTGTTCTTACAAATAACCAAAAATACACAGTGTCACTGATTTGTTTCTTATATTTTCTAAGCACTTGTGCTTGTTCAATTTTAAGCACTTTTACACAGTTACTGTATTTGATTCTCAAAAAAAATAAAAACAAAACGCGGTAAGTTGGGGAGGTTTAGCCGCGTGTCGTAGTTGAGAAAGAGGCTGAAAAGTTAAATGTTTTCCCAAAGTCACAAAGCTACTCATTGTTATCCAGGATTCAGGCTTAGATTTTAAAACCCTAAAATATTTAATTTGCTTATGTTCTTTAATATTCATTCATTCATTAACATTTTGTTTAACTTCTGTGTGGCAAACTCTGTGCTAGATGCTGAATGTAAGAAAATGAGTGATACCTTCCTGCTTCAAGGAGCTTTGTCTAATGGGGAAGCCGGACATGTGCAGAGGGCCGTGGAGGGGAAGGGGCCTGAAATTCAGGGCCAGGGCGATGTTACTCAGTGGAGGTGCTATTGCAACCAAGTCTCAAAGGGAGAGTGGCAATCCCACAGGAGGATTCAGTGGGAAGGAACATCCTAGGTTTGGATTCCTAACCTTTTTTGTGCTAACGACTCCTTGGGAAGTTTAGAGAAGCTTATGAATCCTTTCCTACAATACTGTTTTTTAAAATAAATAAATAGAAGCATAGACTTACAAATGAAACCAATAATGTTGAGGTATTTATAAATTTTTAAAAAATTACAAATAGCAAATTTGTGACAGCCATCTGTGCCTTGTTATTTAACACATTAAATAACAAGACCTAGCAGATCTAGTAACTACTGTAATTTGAGACTACAAATGATACCTTGTAGTATTTGCAACAACAATGCTGCTATGTTATGAAAACTGATTTCTTCTAGTGAAAAAGTCACAGATAATGGCAATACTTTTATAGTTTGCTTCCTACCATAGTAATTTAAGGAAATGCTAAGTTTCAAATAGAAGTTAATGAAAATAAAACTGTGATTTTGTTCCCATCCAGTTCCTGGGTGGAGGACAGAGCACACAGGGTGTTGAGAAAAGCATGGCAGCTCAGGAGACTGTGAATTAGCTAAGTTAAGGTTCTGTGTGGGGTTGGAGACTGAGCAAGGCAGGTGGTCAGGACAGTGTCACCAGAGGGCCCTGTGCACCAACCTACAAGTTGAGACTTTCTCCCTAAGCACTGGGGGCTCTTGGAGTGAATTCATATGCAGTAAGTCAGAAGTAACTCATATGCAATAATTCAGAGTATTTGATACTCTAGAATGGGAAGAATTGGTGGACATATTAAAATAAACAATTCATAAGTTTTAAACTGTGCACCATTCTGAATAGTGTCATGAAATCTTACCTGTCTGCTCGGCATCCTGGGACGTACGAATCCTCCCCTGGTCCGAGGTATTCACCCTGTATACGCTCCCCACCCACCCTGTGCATGCCATCTCCCTCCTCTGAATGCTCTGGCAAAACATAAGAGGACATTCCTTCCCTTTCCTTAAAGTGAGTTCAGAAAGACACTGTGGCGGTAGTGGGTTCCTGGAGAGAAATTGGGTAGGAGGGACATGGAGAAAGGGAGACTTACTTTTCCCTATATATCCTTTAGTACCTTTTGATTTTTTTTATACCTTGTGTTTTGATTACCTATACTGTTTTAAATGTAAGTTCAGGATCTTCGTTTTCACAGTATCTGCTTACTTACCTGCTCTCTTCATTGTTTAGGGAGAATTTGGGATCTTCCTTTTTTCCCCCTTAAGTATGTTTGGTTCCTTTCTCTCCTTTAGGAAATAATACTTGTTTCTATGGGAAGTGTTATTACTGCCGAGAAACAGAGCCAGCTTGTGCCGACGGAGACACGATGGAGGGATCTGTCACCCTCTGGCTTCCAGATGTGTGGCCTCTGCAGAAACACCGACATCCCTGGGGCAGGACTTACCGAGAGGGCAAACTGGCCAGGTAAATGCTCCTGTGAGTCTACTGTTCCTCTCCTGTGCCTAGCCCAGGGCCGCCCAAATGCAGCCAGGGGTTCTGTCCAAGACTAAAGAGAATGGTGGAGGGTCCGGGGCAAACCTGCTAGGCAGAGACTTCACCTTCTCGGTGTTGAGACAATGCAGGCACAATGTCGGCTCTCGGTAAATAACCCTGGTGCTGCTGCTTGCCTCCAGGTGGGAGTACGATGAGAGCTACTGTGACGCAGTGAAGAAGACATCCCCTTATGACTCCGGCCCTCGTCTCTTGGATATCATTGACACGGCTGTCTTTGATTACCTGATCGGCAATGCCGACCGCCATCACTATGAGAGTTTTCAAGATGATGAGGGGGCCAGTATGCTCATCCTTCTCGATAATGCCAAAAGGTAGGACCGCAGGACTACCTTGTCAGGTGGCGGTTCTAAAACTCCAGAGCACACCTGATGGAAGGCATCTTTCCTGTTTCCACTTGGGGTCTTCTCTGTTGGCGATCTCATTCTTCTGTCTTGTTCAGGCTTGCACTCCTTCTACCCCAGGGATCTGAGAATGTTAAAAATGGAAGAGTGGCTTTTTTCCCAGGAGTCAAAGACTGATTTGTTCACAGACAGCTGGAAATCAAGGCCTTTGATTTGCCACCACTCACATTTCTTTCTTAACGATGATATTTAGAATCTTGAGAAATACATAATAGAACATGAAATCTGATTACTGTTCAACTTATTTTACCCAAAGGTTCATGCCATTTAAAAGATTAATTTTTTTTGGCCAAAACCGGTTTGGCTCAGTGGATAGAGCGTCGGTCTACGGGCTGAAGGATCCCAGGTTCGATTCTGGTCAAGGGCATGAACATTGGTTGCAGGCACATCCCCGGTAGGTAGTGTGCAGGAGGCAGCTGGTCGATGTGTCTCTCTTATCAATGTGTCTAGCTCTCTATCCCTCTCCCTTCCTCTCTGTAAAAAATTAATAAAATATATTTTAAAAAATAAATAAATAAAGGATTAACTTTTTTGATAGGCTGCTTTGCTATTTTTGTAGAAGTGTTTGCCCAAACTTTTCACTATCATGAGAGGAAGAGGAATTGCTTAGTGATTATATATAAAGACAACTTACTTTTATCTTCAATAAGATTATTTTACTATTTTTGAATCAATGTCCTTATTTTTTTAAGTCTGGGCTCTTTGAAGAACACATTGTATTTTCAGTTTACACTCTACATTCTCCATGATGCCCACTTCAGTACCTCACTTTTGTTACACTTAATAGAATACTTTTGTATTGGAGCCCAGAATTGTCCAGGTCATTACTGTTAACATTGGTTGCTGGGAGTAAGCTGAGACATGGATCCTCAGCAAAGAATACTTGGGCAGCATTTGCTACTGATGCCAGCATCTTACACCGAGCACAGGCACCTCGTGCTCTGTGAAAGGTGATGACAGCAGAAAGTAAGAGGCCAGCAAACACCACCCTCTTCCCCACCTTCCCACCCCACCCCTTGCCAGCAGAGCAGGCAGTAGTCAGTACTACATACATTCTGGAAAATTTTTTATCCTTGTAAAAATAATTCTTTTTTTAAAGATCACGTGAACTATGAAATATATATTGAAATAGTTGCCTTTGCCATTTATTATTTGAGGGCCTGCATTGTGCTTTGGGTTACCAGACCCTTTGGTTATTCTGAGAGCTTTCAGGAAGAGTAGGAGGTTAATCGTTTTTCTAAAATCAGTTCTCTCCTCCCTCTCTCTCTCTCTCTCTCTCTCTCTCTCTCTCTCTCTCTCTCTCTCTCTCTCAATCTAGCAATCTGTGTACTTCGACCAGAACTTGAGTTCTAGCAATCTGGTTCATCGACCAGAACTTGAGTTCTGGCTAGGAAAGAATTCAGAGCAAGACCCAAATTGCAAGAGAACATTTATTGGATAAAATACAGAGGTAGAAAAAGTAATTCCTAGAAGAAATGGGCTTAGGAAACAAGTGTTGGCATTAAAGGAAAGGCGCAGGAGGGTGTGCTCCTGGGAAAGAGAGCACCAGTTCTCCTTTTCTTACTCTGAATTCCTGCACAGATCATTTTTACATCTGCTTTGAACTGACTTTTCTCAGCCTCTGTGAGTAGTTTTTGCATTCTGAATCTGTTCATATACTTGCAGGAAATAGGATAATTCAAACCTTTTCTTGTTGGTAATTTTGGAGGAGAACAGCAATAACTTGTTTCTACAAGTAATGACCATCTGCTTGTTGGCCGGAACCTGGCATGAATTGCCTGTATTATCCACCCACACTTAAAACTTGTCCAGGCTTAGAGATCCTCAGCTTCCCGCTCTGGTCTGTGGTGCCTCAGCACCTGCTGTATGTTGTCAGGAGAGAGGGTTCTCATAAATGCGTATGTTTGTTGTTTGTTGCTGCAGCACACGCTGTTAGGATCTGTGTCTAATTGGTTATGCCCTGTTTGTTTTTAAGTGACTGAAGCTGTGGGAGCATGACGTTGATTAGGATCTCACTTGGGTTTCTTTCAGAATTTGCTCTTGCTTTGATGCTAAGAAGGGAACTGGTGCTTCTACCTAATTAACTGAATTTCATTTCATTTTCAGCTTCGGGAACCCCTCGCTGGATGAGAGAAGCATTCTTGCCCCTCTCTATCAGTGTTGCATGTAAGTGACGCACATCGAATGCCAGGTTCAGATAACAGTACAGTGTTCTTGGCCTTAAAATGTTCTAATACCTGAATAGTGCTTTTCATGCTTTTCTAACCTAGAACCCCTTAAGGGCCTGACATGAAGGATAAAGGAAAAGTGGAGACTGGTGACCCAAAACTCAGAATTCATTTTGAGTTTTGAATAAATAAAAGTCTTCATTCTATTTAATAATATACATCCATGTTTGTTTTAATATCAGAATATAGTCCCACCCCCCAAAAAATTTTAGTATAATCTGGTTGCTGTATTGTGTTTATCTTATGGTTTCAAGTCCTCTCACTCACCACCACAAACATCCTGTGGGTTGCATATCTCAATTTGAAATTGCATAAACCAAAAGTAACATTTCCCAAACGTATTTAGTAACTGATGTTATTTTTGTAAAAGTCTATACTATAGAACAAAGAAAAGGTAAATCAAGAAAATAAAAACTGGCTCTAAGAAGCTCCTGCTTGTGGTACAATTTTAAAGTGAGCACTAAGAACCAGCTGGAATCCCCACACAGATGCAATTTCAGCAGCACCACTTCCCACTGGTCAACTCCCGGGTCCTTGGGACCATGTGAGACTGCTCCTCCTGGCAGCTCACCTTCTCTTTTTCTCTTTCTTTCTTTCTTTCATTCGTTCGTTCGTTCTTGTTTTTTTTTTTTTTTTTTTTTTTAATATATTTTATTTATTTTTTTATAGAGAGGAAGGGAGAGAGATAGTCAGAAACGTCGATGAGAGAGAATCATCGACCAGCTGCCTCTTGCACACCTCCTACCGGGGATGTGCCCACAACCAATGTACATGCCCTTGACCGGAATCGAACCTGGGACCTTTCAGTCCGCAGTCCGACGCTCTACCGCTGAGCCAAACCGATTTCGGCTCTTTCTTTCTTAAATGTACTTTTACTTATCTTTTTTTTTTTTTTTTTCGTTTTATTTTCTTAAATATATATTTTTATTGATGTCAAAGGAAAGAGAGGGAGAGGGAGATAGAAACATCAAAGATGAAAGAGAATCATTGACCAGCTGCCTCCTGCACTCCCCACACAAAGGATGGAGCCCTCAACCTGGCATGTGCCCTGACCAGGAATCGAACCATGACTTCCTGGTTCATAGGTTGATGCTCAACTTCTGAGCCACCAAGTCTGGGCTTGCCTTTTTTTTAATCACAAAAATATTCTGCAGAAAGATTATCCAGGCAACCCTTTAATTATCTTAATTAATATTGGGAAGTAATGATACAGCCAAGCAAAAACTGTATCTTTCAAGGAATATGTTTTTATATTAATACTTAGCGTTAGCAGTCTGGTCCCGTCAGGAGATGGAAAAAACATAGTGGGTTAAATGGGAAAGTTTAGTGTAAAGGATTGTTAACTCTGTTGCAGGAGTGACTATAAAAGAGAACAAGGGCTGAGGGAGAGCACCCCAAACAGGACAAGCTTTGAAGGGGACCCCCTTTGTCGTTCAGCTCACTGGATGGCAGAGAAGTCCGTGAGTTTGCAGGCACGTGAGCAAGAAGCAGGTCTAGAGTGCAGGCAAGGTACAGGCAGTCCACAGCCGGCATCATGAAGTACAGAGGGACGGATGACTGGGTAGAAGCCCTCTAGGCTGCGAGCAAGGCATGTTTTTGGGTCTGCAGGGTGCCAGAATGGGCAGGTGCCTTTGGCACAATGGTTTCCATATCAGCCGGGCCTCAGGATAGTTTTCACCAGGCCAGGCTGAAGATGCAAGATCACCAAGGGCCTGCCCGTTCTGGGAATGTGGCTGGGCTCCATATGATGATCTTGCCCACACATGACTGACCCACTGTGCAACAGCCAGTAGCAGCTGGAGAACTCCTTTCTTCTGCATTGTTCCTCGAGCGTCCTCTGTTGAGAAAGCTTAGGAGAGAGAAAGATGCTTCAAGGAAATCTGTCCATTATAGCAGGCGATATCAAGTGATACCTTAGTCACACACAGGAAGCTCAGATGCTCAGGGCATTAGTAGTGTATTTAAAAATACAAAACTATACTGTTTCTTTGCTTGTTCATTCCTTCCATGCTTTAGCCAAAGTTTGATATCCTTTGCTTTTTAAATAGTTACCGAACAGGCTGCCTCTTGCAGAGTCCAATTTTTCTGCATACCTAGTAATTCTCACAGTACCTACAGGCAGATTAGTACTTTTCTTCTGAGATAAACAAAAGATCCTCTTTACTTAGTGAAATAAGGAAAACTGGTATCCTTATAGTAAACTTTTAATTTATAATATTAATGATAGAAATTTTTTAAAATTGAAAAATGTAAAAAGAAGGAAATAAAATTACCCATTAAGATGTAAGGATAATTTCTGTTCACACTATAGTGACTTCTAATCACGTGTCTGTTTTTGTTTGTGTGTCTGTGTATACAAATACACATTTTCTTTCCCCATAGATTCGGAATAAAACAGCTTCTTTACTCCCATATACCCAATATCATGAACATTTTCTTTACTCCTGTTAACAGCTGCGTAGTATTTAACGTGAATGGATGAGCCATAACGTAATTATTTTCCAGTTGTTGGACATTCAGTTTGGTTCACATTTTCCTTTTTATAAATAGCACTGCCGTGAGGATGTATAAATCTTTATATTATCCCTCAATTACCTAGAAAAAATATCAAAATGTGATAGTGACTTACTCATACTGATATTTTTAGTTGAGGTATTTTACATAATTTCTTTACTTTTGTTTGCCATGCAGGCTTTAAACTCCATTTAATAGTGAGAGGTTTTATGTAACCCATCCGAAACCTTTTTCTTCCAGCATTCGGGTTTCTACCTGGAACAGACTGAATTACCTAAAGAATGGTGTGCTGAAGTCTGCCTTAAAATCTGCCATGGCTCATGACCCCATCTCCCCAGTGCTGTCCGACCCGCACCTGGACGCTGTGGACCAGCGGCTGCTGAGTGTCCTGGCCACTGTGAAGCAGTGCACGGACCAGTTCGGGATGGACACTGTGCTGGTGGAAGACAGGATGCCTCTCTCCCACTTGTAATTCGCAGCACAGAATAACTGAAACTTCTTTTTACAAAGATAGAGAAACAGCACAATCAATTCCAAATGGTATGAGATGGATTGGAAACGGCCGGCAGTAAGTTCTGGTGACAGGACAGAGTGGCCTTGGATTTACTGGTGTTTCCCGTCGTAGAAACTGAAGTGAGGACTGTCAGTTCAGAACACGGATGTTCTGCCGAGTTACCTGACGTCCTCGATTCTTGCCCATTCTAGTGGGCATCGCAGTTTGTCAGTCTTAATTCTCATGCCAGAGGACAACAGGTGTGATGCTTGGATATGTTCATGCTGGGATCGGTCCTGGAGTGGGTATTTGGAGTTCATTCTTGCAGCCCTTTCTCCATACCTGTGGATTTTCTGAGAAAACTTTGCCATCTCTTGAGTCCTTTTTTTACCAGGACTAGTCAAATTGAGAATTTTACTGCCTTCTGAGGAGAGGCAGCAAGTAAAACCTGACATTTTGTGGAGCCAAAGGAACAGGCTCTGTTGGAGTGGGGTATGTTTTGGAGGGACATCAAAAGCAGGAAAGGTGTTTGGGCTTTTCAGCGATGAGGCAGTAGCACTTTTGATGATTCTTAAAGGAGGGAAGAAAGGAGAGAGAAGGTGACCAGAATCGGGGAGATGACTGGGTTAGCAAAAGCAGGTTCCCCTGGGTTTTATTTAAGTTTTTAAAGTGTGTAAAAGCTAATGTGACTTGTACCTGAGTAAAGTTTGCGTTCTCACAGTTGTGTTTTAATTAACCAAAAAATTGTCTCTGGAGGATTTATTGTTACAACCCAAGGATGAATCTCTTATGAGACTTTTATTTCTTTATTTTGCCCAAAGGAGACAAATCTTTTCCAAATTAACAAAGCAAACAAAAAATACCTTGAATAACAGTTAGGTTACTTGTGACCTCTGCCATCCTGGTTTCTCTTCTAAAATGAATTTTCATCTCGGCCTTTAAGGCCTTGGAAGCTGCTATTCCCAGAGATGGGCAACCCTGATTGTGCCTTTCTTGTGAGAAGAGCCGGCTCACTCTGGCAGATGAACGTGTACATCCTGCTGCTGGCTGGGCTGACTTACGATTTGAGCCATGTGGGTGACTGGAAACAAAGATTTAAGCCTCTGAGCCTTAAAACTAAGGAGGGTGTACCAGGAAGAGCCTTAAGATTTTAAGTTACGTCCAAACCTAATTTCGTCATTTAATCTTGTTTGGAGTTTCTAACCCGTGTTCTGTCTCTTGTTAGATTCTCAGATTTCAGGTTGCTAACACACAGGCTGAGTTCTGGGTTCTGGCAGAGAGGTTGTGCCATGGAAGCAGCTGCAGTAAAATGTGGGGCCAGAGGCGGCAGGCCTGCTGTGCCCGCTCGGTGTGTCCTCCGCGCTGTGTGCCGTCCCACGTGCTGTCTGGGTGCTGTGCCAGTTCTGTGCTTCTGTCATGCAGAGACTAATAGTTAACAGTGAGGTTGAACACCTTTAATGCCAGCCATTGGAGACCAGTTGTAAGCAACCTCTCTTTCAAAAGCAGTTTCAAATTTATGCCCCAATGTCCTCGCATTGAAAGATAACCAAGTATCCTGTGACTACTTTAAAAGAGCATGAAATTAGGATACTTTTGTACTTTGTATATACATTTTGAGATGTACACAAGAACGGGCTGAGTTATTTAAAAAGGTTTTGAATTTTAGAAGACAGTATTTGCACAAAACACTAAAATATTGTTGACAAAAGGCGGTATTGATTCCAGTTGAAAGGCCATTGACTGTGTACATGCCCAGAAACCCACAGTTGAGCAGGAGGATACCTTGGAGAGTGTATACCTTGCAGGATCAGTGAGCCCTCAGGAGGGAAATAGGGAAGGATGTCAGCCCCACTCTCCTTGGTAAATGTCCGCTGAACTGAATTGATTAGTGTCTTTCAGACATGGTCCCGTCACTGTGGCACACTGGAGTGCATAAGAGCTGTTAGCGGACTGCGAACTTGATTCATAATGTCAAAGCAGAAGACTCTGCTGAGAAAAAGAGTGGGAGAGAAAGCTGCTTTGAAACTGTCTCATCCCTTTTTATAACATTGCAGGAAATGAATAATGTTCTTCTCTTTCCCTGCTGTTTAAAAATTCATGCTCTTAAAAGATGTTCAGATATGTAGTGGTTAAAGTTAGCATTGTGCTAACTATATGACACTGAGAATATAAATGTATAGTCGAAGTCAGGATTGGATTAAGCAAGAAAAGTATGTTTGGGTGAACCTTAGAGAAAATCAACCATAATCATAGCCTTGAAATTCACAAACACTAACTTTTATTTGAAAAACAAAACAAAACAGGTAGATATCTTTTCAAAAGTTTTCTAACAGTGTTCCCTTGATGGTTTATTTATTAGAATCTAGCACTATTAGACAAGTCATTGAAAGAGTTTTTGGTCAGCTCAAAGAAGTGTGTGTCTAGCTGACATCTAAAGATAGAGTGAATACATTTTAATATAATAAAGCTAGGAAAATCAGAAGTGACTGCTATTTCTTATCTCCTTCTGCTTCTTAAATATGTTTATTCCAGAGTCTGAGTAGGAAAATATGAGGAGAGAGATTTCATTCTAAAACTGTTCTTTAATGTGAGTCTATATTGTGGGTTTGGCCATAAGTAATTTTCTGTAAAAAACAAATTATAGACAAGATCTGATTTGTTCAGCATATTTGTTCAATAGTATATTAGTAAGGCATTTACATTCAGAATTAATGTGTCAAATGAAACTTAAGAATGAAATGGAGAATTTGGGTACATCCAATTCATATTTTTGGGAAAGACTAATCCTACGTGGCAATTTTTTTCAGTGTTCTTCCAAAGAAATCCATCTTTTCTCAAAAACAGAACAAAAGGCTTTTGACTTCCCCTTCCCATCCACCATATTCCTTCACCCTCCCGGCTCAGTGGTCCCCTGTATTGTATTCTTATTTGACCACCAAGTGACCATACCTCAGTAATGGTAATACGGCATCTGTCAGTGAGCTAGCTGACTTATATCCTGGGAGCTTGAGCTTCAGGAAACGTGAGTAAAGATATATGTATGTATATAGTCATATATGTATTCTAGCAAGAAAAAAATGTATTTATTTTGACACAGGGAAACACTGATTTATGTTGCTGAAGAACTTGAAGCTAGTAAAAGGTTCTCTTCTCAGTGTCTGAGCGTGGACCCTATGTGCATAGAGATCATTCATTCAGAAAACGCCTACTGAGCATCTCTGATGAGCCAGCCCACTAGCACATGTATGAGCCAGGCAGACCTGACTTCACGGAATCTCTTTTATAGGGAAAACCAGTTTTTCTTTGAAAGGTAGGGGCTGCCACAGGTTTTTAAGGAACTAAGGGGTTACAAATACAGAATGGGGGGAGCTGGGAACAACTTAATGGGAAGCTAATTTATTTGCTTAAAAGAGAAGTGTAAGAACACCGCTCTCTGTTTTGATCTACCAAGGATTTCCTCCCAAATAGAGGTTGTGCTGGGTGAGTCACCAAACAAGACAGATGTATACCTAAATTTCTAATATGTTCTATGGGTTTCGATTCTGAAAAAAGAAAATAAAGATTTTAATAAGTATTGATGTATCATGTTTTCCTCTTATTCTTTCTCTCCCATTTTAGGATACTTCCAGTGTTTTCTATTTCATTTTTCTACCTATTTTAGTAGGGGACAGAAAGTTACATCTTATACTTTCACAGAATCTGATGGATAAGACCTTTAGCTTTCTTAGGAATCTTCAAAAGGCCCAGACCAGGTTTTGACTGGACCAAAAATTTCCAAAGGATATTTCTTGGATGCTTTTTGTGCATTTAGTAGTTAACGCAATTCGTGCAGCTTCTTTAGAGATAAAAAATTATGAATCCTAAAGAACTTGTCAGGGCAGTTCCACAGAGGCCCGGAAAAGAGGACCAGGTGCCCTGATTATAATCGTTAGGACACTCCGATTTTTAACTTTTTTTATAATTAAAAAAATTTTTTTTGTTAATCCTCACTTGAGGATATTTTCCCATTGATTTTCAGAGAGAGTGGAAAGGAAAGAGGGAGAGAGAGAAGAGAGAGAGAGAGAGAGAGAGAGAGAGAGAGAGAGAGAGGGAGAGAGAAACCATTGTGTGAGAGAGACATCAATTCGTTGCCTCCTGCATGTGCCCCAGCAGGGGTTGGGGATCAAACCTGCAACAGAGGCACATGCCCTTGAACTGGAATTGAACCTGAGACCCTTTTGGTGCTCAGGCTGGGGCTCTAACCACTACATACCAGCAAAGGCCCAGATTTTTAATTTTTGAAATGGAAATCAAGTATCATAAGTCTCAACTAGACAATTGAGCAGAGTTCTTAACTTTTTTTTTTTTTTTTTTTTTTTTACTTGATTTGCAGCATTTTGTGCCAGTTTTTGTCATTTGTGCTTGAATACCAATGGGAGGCTAAAGCCTAGGACATGTTCTTCCAGGCTCACCACATCAATCTTTTTCCAGGCAAGAGTTCAGGCTTCGTCTGCTTCTCCAGCATTTCAGAAAGACTGGGAGTATGGCTTGAAAAGGCAGATGGCAGTAGGGAGGGCATAATTCTGATATGGGCTAATTTTACCCAGTGTGTTTGCCTATAAGAACTTTTTAGCAGCCCTCATTTTATAAGAGACAAGAATGGTCATAATTACTGGTATAACAAGGATGGGGTCTTTTTAATACATATTTTTATTGATTTCAGAGAGGAAGGGAGAGGGAAAGAAAGAAACATAGCCCTAACTGGTTTGGCTCAGTGGATAGAGCGTCAGCTTGTGGACTGAAGGGTCCTGATTCCGGTTAAGGGCATGCACCTTGGTTTCAGACACACCCCCACTGGGAGGTGTGCAGGAGGCAGCTGATCGATGTTTCTTTCTCATCGATGTTTCTAACTCTATCCCTCTCCCTTCCTCTCTGTAAAAAAAAAAAAAATCAATAATACATATTTAAAAAAAAAAAAAAAAAAAAAAAAGGAAAGAAACATCAATGACCCTGAGAGGGAATCATTGATTGGCTGCCTGCATGGGTGGTTTTGTAAGGTAGGGTGCTGTATAAATCCCAGGGAGTAACAGTAAGTCATGATTTGTAAAGTATTTGATCTTTCTTTAGTAGACATTGGGGCATTGTGCTCTGAGCCATGGATGCCATCAAGATGGTAATGACTCCCTTTCTTCAAAGAGCCTGTAGTCCTAGCAGAAGAAATCTGCTTGTGAAGTACCGAGTGCCTCAGGAATGACGTAAGTTCACTACAATGAAAATAAGACTCAAGAAAGAACCGTGGGTGTTTGGAGCGGGGAGGTAGACAGGACCCTCATGAAGAAGCAGTTGGCACAGGCCTGGCATGGGTGTGTGCAGAACTCCTGGCTCCAGAAATGCGGGCCTTCTGTGGTGGTTCCTGGGTCACCAGAAATGTCCCTTCAAGGGTTTCCTGTGGTTCTTCCGGTTGTGCCTGTCTTTGGGGAGGAACAGTCCACTGTGATGTCTCTGATGGTAAACAAAGGAGCCGTTGGCATCCAGACAAACTGTGAAAACATTCATTTTATGTTTTCAGGGTTTGCGTTTTGCATGCCAAGCTTATTTGGAGATAGATTTGATTTGTACCCAAAGATTGTTTTCAGGACCAGTGGTGTTTTCTGACTGACTTCAGCAGGGTGGGGGAACTGTCCCACTCAGATGATAGTGAAGTTGCTGGGGGCCCATTTTCTCTGTTAAAATGCAGAACTTGAGTAGATTTGTGGTCCATGGACCACAATTGAATATCACTGGTAGGATTTGCTGCCTGTAGTGTTCACAGGTGCCTTTAGATGTCCCCATCCTCCATGAGATTTGCTCCTAGAGTTCAACTCACAGGCAATGTTAGCAGTTTATCGAAACTAGAGGCTGTCTAAAGACTGGGTTCATTGTTTCTTTTTAATTTTTTAATGTCTTTATTGATTACAGAGGGGGGAGAGAGAAAAAAACATGAGTATTGAGAGAGAATCATCGATCAGCTGCCTCCTGCACGCCCCACACTAGGGATGGAGCCTGCAACCCAGGCACATGTCCTGATCTGGAATCAAACTGTGACCTCCTGGTTCATAGATCGATGCTCAGCCACTGAGCAGTACTGGCCTGACTCTCATTTTGAGTCATTGTTTCTATGTGTTACTGATTTTGATGGAAAAAAAAATATTTAGCTCTATTCCTTTTAGAAAAAGAAATGTCTTCTTGAAATCAAGTTGCTTGTCCAAGAATTTTCCAGCTACCTACTTTATTTACTATGAAATGCAAAATTTAAATCAGAATATCTCAGAAATTAGCAGTTAGTACTATATGAAAGTTACAGTTAAGAGATTATTTCTACAGTCTTAAAATTTGGATTTTTAAAAAAATAAACAGGTTAATGCTAATAATTTTATCACCATACATTCACCTGGAAACTTCACTAGTATAAAGAAAGCCATTCAGACTTGCTGTGTACCCATCCAGGGCCTCGTCCAGGGTGAGGCATATGTGATAATGAAAGAGAACATATAATTCAATTAGCCCATTGATCTTCATAGCATCTCTATAAACTGACTATATTACCCCCATTTTATAGGTGAGAAAACTGAGGCCCAGGTCAGTTAAATAGCACCCAGGTCACATACAGAAAATGGTAGGGGCCAGTTAACCAGCATATTAGATTGCCATTCACACTCAAACAACATATACTGAATGAGTTAATGTTTTCTATTTCTGACTAAGGATAGCATGTTCCTTGCTAAGTGTCCCCTGAAGGATTCCATGAGCTGGACTGGACATAATGTGGACTTGTGGACTAGGCACTGTTCTCTGGAAGGTTTGGGTTCAATTTTGACATCACTCTGAGTGGCTAAGATGTACAATATACTTAGATAACAGTACTCTGCAATCTGGCTCTCGTATCCTAACCAAGGTATTTGCCTGATTTCTGAAATGAATGAATGAATTCAAAGAAAGAAACAATCTGGTGAGCTGCTGAGGAAGGAGCAAAGACTGGGAGGAACAGGTGAATCCATTTGCTGTGACGTTAGTGAGACATGGCGCTAGGACTCACTGTACTGGCGGGAGAGTCCAACCTCAGAGGGGTTGAGCCCATGACAGTAGCCAAGTCCCATGGACCCTATTAAGCAGTTTCTTAAGACAAGGTGGCTGTAGGCCAGGCACACAGTAAGTCAGGTGACAGAAAACTGCTTTAAGCTCTTCTGAGATCTGACAACCTGGCAGGATGCACGTGTTATGGGAAAGGAAGGCCCTCAGGTCTTTGGCCAGTGGTGTCAGAAGCCGCTTATGGTCACAAGTGCTTAAAAATTGCCAACATAGCCATGGAAGTCTCACAGTGTTTCTTTTTAATGAGATCTGATTACACTGACATGAGACCTTATGATTTCCCCATGACTCTGGGAGTTTCCAAAACCCACATCTCCAGATGGGAGCCCACAGCTTCCCTTTGCTTGTGCTGGTGCCCAGCTGAGGAAACCTGCTGGTGACAGCTGCCAGGTTCCTTACCCTTCCTTCTCCCTCTCAGGGCCTCCTCTCCGGGCAGCTGGCCGTTCCCGCCGAACCCGCCCCTGCCTCTGGGTGAGGGGCGCTCCGGTTTCCTCTAACAGATTGGCAGAAAGCTGATCTGACACCGGCAGGCAGAGGGTGCCCCTACGCCGTAGGCCTCAGTGGCCCGGAGCCGCCTGGAAGTAACAGCAGGTGGACAGGGGCCTTTCCACCGCTGCCCGCTGCCCGCCCTGCGGTGGGCGGTGCTTGCTCAGCCTCCCCACGCCCGCTGGGCCCAGCTTAGGTTTCGGTTTGGGGCCCCGCCTCGCCCGGGTCACGTGGGGCTGCAGTTCCTGTGGCAACTCCACTCTAGCCGGCGACCTGGATTCAGCCTTGGGCCGGGGGCCGGGCGGGAGCGGCGGGAGCTCGGCCGGACATGCCTCGCGGCCTGCGGAGCCAGCTCCCGCTCAGGGTCCTCCTGCTGCTGCTGCTGCCGCTGCCGCCGCCGCCCCTGGCGGGCGCCCTGGAGCTTCACGACCCCGCTGGGCCTGCAGAGGCGGCCGAAGAGCCCGGCTCGGGACCAGCCTGGCCGTCCTTCCCCTTCCGGGACCTGCGCAGGTGGGCGAGGGCCGCCGGCGCCCTCTCCAGACGGTACTGGGCGCTCTTCTGCTGCCGCGTGTGGCCCGAGACCTGCTCGCTGGACAAGGAGGCCCCCGCGGGGGCCCAGGGTAAGACCCGGGGGTGAGACGTGCCCAGGCGCAACCTCAGGACCACCCTGCTGGCGCCTTAGCTGTGCTGCCCAGTCCCGGGAGGCCTCACCCCTGCCACCCTCATCCCAGGCACAGCCCTCCTAGAGGATGGGCCTGGCTGTCCTCCGTGGCTCCGGACTCCTCCAGACAGCTCACGCCTGGATGAACACACCCCAAGTCCCCTTTCCTCCTCTGTTGCTTAAGGAGGTGGAGCCTGAGCTAGGAGTCCCAGCCTGAGTTCTAGTTTCCGTTCTGTCACTGTCATGGATCAGATGATCTGAGGCTTTTTGGGGTCTCTGTTAATAATTCTGCATCTGGTAATAGTACGGTAATGGTGCTCTACACATCTTTTGTTAGGTCTAAGATTTCTATTTTCCAGCGTATGGTTTTTATTTTTGCCAGTGCTGGGTATATTCAAATTGACATTTGGCAAAAGAATTGAGGCCTTTGGGTTTGGCTATGATCAGATTTGGAACCCAGAGCAAGTAGGAAGAATGATGATCACCAGCTTGCTGTCCCCAACTAGATGGCCACTCCTTGCAGGCAGGGTCTGGGCTCCGGGCCACCCTGGCACAGTGCCCAGGGCATGTTTGTTGAGTCAACCGAGACTTTCCTGGAGCTACACCAATAGCAAAGCTAGAGGTATCCACTCGTGCCCAGGCACAAGGGAGGCCCAGGGAAAAGTGTACCGAGAGTGGCTCTGGAGGGCGGGCGAGGGACGGAAGAACTACTGGGCAGGGAGGGCAGCTCCCCTGGGCCCCCTGCTGTATGTGTGTCTCATGGCCCTTCCTTTTCCAGGCTGGAGCCTTCCCCTAGTGGGGCAGCAGTACCTGGATATCCTGACCACATGGTACTGCAGCTTCCAGGATTGCTGTGACCATGGGGACTGCAGGGTCTCCAACAACTTCACAGGTTGGACCTTGCATGCCTCTAAGGGGATAGAGATCTGTGGGAAGGGGAGGCGGTTCAGGGAAATGGCTAAGGTATAGGGAACCTTTCCTCATCCTTCCACAGCTGGCAGCACTCTCTCCTGTCCCCACTCCGCAGCCTCATGGCCGTGCGGAGGGAAAGCCTGCCAGGAGACTTTGCACACACTGTCCACAGGGGTTTGCTGAATTGTTAAAATGAATATAAAGTGAGGATGTTCCATGAAATCTGTAGGGAGTTCTGGAACTCCCAGGGGGAGCAACTGCGAGCTCTCCCAACCGTTCTGAGGGTCTTCAGTGCCTTCAGAGCGATGGATCCATCTCTCCCCAAGCTCAATGGCGACTTCTCAAACTCTCCAGAAAAGAGCCCTCGGGTCCCTTCTGCTGCCAGGTGTGCCCAGGGCTTGTTCTGAGGCCAAAGTGATCCCATCTCAGCGTTGTTCAGAGGTGTTCACTCTCGGCTGTTGCGGCAACTGCACTTTGTGCACCTCTCATTGTGGCCTCCTTTCCTACCCCCAGGCCTGCAGTCGGACCTGAGTGTGCGGCTGCACGGCCAGCACCTAGCCGGGGAGCTGGTCCTGACCACAGTGAGGAGCTACTTGGAGCTGCCCCGGCCGGACAAGGCCCTGGCTCTGTCGTTCCACGGCTGGTCTGGCACAGGCAAGAACTTCGTGGCTCGGCTGCTGGCGGAGAACCTGTACCGGGACGGGCTGAGGAGTGACTGTGTCAAGGTGTTCATCACTATGATGCACTTCCCTCACCCCAAGTATGTGGACCTGTACAAGGTGAGGCTGGCAGTGCAGTGCTGGAGCTGGAGTGAGGCTTGGACGGCCCGAGGCGCAGCCCTCTGTGCTGGGGGATGGGCTCTCGAGAAGCCTAGGTGTGCGGTTTGGGGGGCAGGGTCCATTTCAGCAGAGCCTGTAGCCCCCAGAAACGTCTATCCACACACAGGCGGCCCTGAGCGTGTGGAGGACTGACAGGTTCCACACCACTTGTCCCGAGCTGTCCCCTTACCTGCCAGACACCGAGCTTAACGAGTCCATGTGTTAATTTTCTGTGATAGTAGTGGAAGTTGCAGGAAATGTGGGACAGAGGAAGGCAAAAGCTTTATCATGACCTCCCCACACAGACACAACTAGTTAGCATTTGGTGTGCTTCCTGCAAGCCTTTCCTTATGCTGCTTGATGTCACTGTCATTAGAGTGGACAGAAATTTGCATATCCTGTTTTTCAAAGAAGTCTATCATATAAGTGATTTCCCTCAACAAGTGGAGAGACAAAAAATGTCTTTGCTGTTGTTAGTTTGGTTTTCTTCCATTAGATGTAGTATTTAAAGTAAGCTGGACAATGTCTGTCTCTGGCTTTCCAGTCCAATACCTGGAACACGATAACCTGGGAAGATGAGGTAAGCATGTGAGGAGCGATTGCCTGAGTCACTGGGCAGTTTCAGTGTGAACTGTCCTAAGGGCAGGCAGCTGGTCAGCCAGGCCTTCCCAGAACAGCTTTGACTGTGGCTTCCTCACCATGAAAAATGACATGTACACACTCACACTTTGCATATCTCATTACACACTCGGGTCACAGGGCACTGACGTCAGGATCCAGGAAGGCTACAGGCGACAGTGAGTATGGGCTCTGCTTAAATACCCCACCCTGGGGCAGAGCTGGCCCTGACCTGGTGAACCCCACAAAGGGGCATCTTTTCAAAAGATATTCTTGCCTGAATGGAAAGCCCCCGTTCCAAGTAAGCCAAGTAGACTCAGACAGGTCCTTCCCAGTGGGAGCTCTGCTCCTGGAAGTTCAAGTGGGACTGTGGCTGCCTCTGGCACTTGAGCTTGTCTCTACCTTTGACCCCAGTATTAAATTCCTGTCCGTTGGGGAGGGTGAGTTGGCTCTTAGTTCTGAGACCTCTTCCTGGAGGGGAGGGAGCAGGGCCTGCTGTTAACCAAGAGCAGGCAAGGCCCTCTCTCTCTCTCTCTCTCCCCCAGGCTAGCCCCACCTCCACCAGTAGAACCCAGCCCTAGGCAGTCCACTGCAGATGCTTCACCAGGGCCCTGTGCCGCTAGGGGTCCCCAACTGCTCCCTGTTTTCTGTGCAGGAGCAGCTGACAGAACAGGTGAGGAAGACGCAGGAGCATTGCCACCAGACCCTGTTCATTTTTGATGAGGCTGAGAAGCTGCACCCAGGGCTGCTGGAGGCCCTCGGGCCACATCTGGAACGCCAGGTCCTGGAGAACCACAAGGCTGAGTCCCCTAGAACCATCTTCCTTTTTCTCAGGTAAGGTCTGAGGGAAAACGGGAGGGATGGGAAGGAAGAACCTTTGTCCAGGTGCTGTGTGTGCTTCTGTGCTCTCCTAAGCTACAGACCCTTTTCACAAGGGAAACCAATACAACTGTAGTCAAGAACATAGAAACCTAGCTGCTAGGGGTGTCAGCATAGCCTTTTCCAGAACTGGGTCACATAGCGCAAAACAGGAAAGGTCCCATGCTACCAGGTGGGGAGCCTTAAGTCTCAGGCTCCTGCCCTGATTGTACGCCAGGACACTTCTGAAAGACTGTGGTCCCCACTTCCCCCCAATGGCCAGCTAAGTACAAACTCACTCTGGGGACTTGTGTGGGGAAGAGCAGCTGCCTCTCATCTAGCCTCCCCCATTGTTCTCACGATGGTGAGATCCCTCATACCCCCGTCTGCACAATCCCACCAAGTACACAAGGGTTCGCTCTGCTCTACACCCTCACCAGCATTCACCTCCTCCTTTTGATACCAGGCATTTTAACAGGTAGGAGGAGATGTCTTCACTGTGCACTTCCGTGATTAGTGATGTTGAACATCTTTTTGTGTACTCATTGGCCACTGGTATATCCTCTTTGGAAAAATATCTATTCAGATCCTTTGCCCATGTTTGGGATGTGTATTTTTTTGCTATTGAGTTATGTTCTCTATATATTTTGTATATTAATCCATCAAGTATATGGCTTACAAGTATTTTCTCCAATTCAGTAAGTTGCCTCTTTTGTTCATTTCCTTTGTCCCACTTACTTTTGTTTTTGTGTAAAATCCAAAAAAATCATTGCCAAGACCATTATTAAGGATCTTACCACCTAAGTTTTCTGCTAGGAGTTTTAGAGCTTCACATCTTACATACAAGCACTTAATCCATTTTGAGGCCATTCTTGTGTGCGGTATAAGATGGTGGTTTAGTTTCATCTTTTTGCTTGTGACTATCAGTTTCTCCAGCACTATTTATTGAATAGATTGTCTCCCCCATTATTTATTCTTGGTTCCTTTGTCATATACTGACCATATACAGGTGGGTTTAAATTTTGTGTTCTAGTCCATGGGTTTGTTTTTATGCCGTTATCACACTGTTTTGATTACTATAACTTTGTAATATAGTTTGAAATGTAGCTCATACACTGGGAATTCCCCTCTTAGTAGGGCATGAGTTTTCAAGTCAGCAAATGAGTTCAAAATCAAGTACAAACTACCTTGGAAAATTCTTTATGTAGACCCAAAGGGTAGTTTTACTAACTCCAACATGGTGTGTTCTCTCCCCATCCTTGGGAAGTCTTTTTCTTCTCTGATAATGAGAAGTTGCTACTGGCTTGAAATTCAGGGATAATGTGTTAAATGTAAAGTGCTCTGTGTCTCCCTATTTGCAAGCCCACCACATAGAACTTTTCCTGTTTTGTGCTACGTGACTCAGGCTCTGGAAAAGGCTATGCTGAAAACAGGCTTAGAAATCAACTTGTCCAACCTTCTTATTTTATAGAGGCTCCAACTGGGAATGTACTGCCCAAGGTCTGGTCAAGTCTGTGTCCCTGTTGGCCCAACTTGAATGCTTCACCAGCCGCTTCTGGCACTCTGTGGAAGATAAACCAGTTGTTCCCTCCCCAGGCTAGTACATACTTGCTAGGGAATTCCTCCCAGCTTTAGGGTGCACAAGGTTCGGAGAGAGTAAGGATGAGCTATGGAGGGCAGATTCTTTTTGACTGTGGACCTACAACATGAGACCAGTTTAAACTTGTGATTTCAATGCATTGATGGCAAGTCCTTCCTGGCCTATAAGAAAGGCTTATGGGACACTAACTATAGTGCGTTGTGGAGAGCAGGAGGCCGGCGAAGATGGTTTTAAGAGAAAAGCAAAAAGATCTGCTGATATGATTGGCTCTGTGTTATTGATCACCTGAGGCAGCCTTACAGCTTTTCCAACTAAACCCTGTCAGGTGGGGGGAGTCCAGGGGACCCCCTGAACTGCTGCAGACACCAGTCCTTCCCCCATGGAAGGATGCTGGTGACCAGCCCATGATTCTCACTTTTGTAGAAATCCTTTGACTTTGTACACAGCTTTTCCTTCCTCTCACTTCCCCTGAGTCACTTCTGCCTTGTGGCTGCAGCTGACTGTTCCTCTGCATGGGCTCGGCCCAGTTCTTGGCACCTGTGCCAGGCTTCCTAAGGTGACCCTGCTGTATCTCTAACATGTTTGCCATGGTAGTATTTTGGTCTCTGTACCCCCTCACTAGCGACCCAGAAGGGCCACGAATGGTGGAGGCAGCGTAGGGGAAAGGCGCCACCACCCAAGGGCCAGAAGGTGACCACCCTTTAAACCTTGAAGGTTTTCAGTTATTTAGAGATGGGTAGGGAAAGACGTGGACAAAACTTCAATTGAATAAATTTGAAGAGCTAATAGGGTTTATTAAGTGGTTCCTGAATCAGGCAGCAGCCCATCTAGTAAATAGAGATGCTCTGAGAAGCCGGACAACGGAAAGCTTTTTATAGGCAAAACTGGACAGGACATGAAAGCTGCTGGCAAAAGGTCCGTTTCTGACAAGGCCAGCTTCCGTGGGCGATAGAAGAGGGCCTGTGTGACCATTAGCTCAGTGGTGCTGACCGGAGAAGTCTAGGCTTGGTGCCATGAGGCTTTCAACACAGTGACTCTGGTTTTTCTCTGAGTTTCTGGGCTTGATTTCTAAAATGTGTGGTAAGGACTCCTCTAACTCAAAGAAAAGCACAGTTGATTCAAACTTCTAGTGTGAACAACTCATAGCAGTTCATCCTGAAAGTTTTCCTGAAGCTGCTGTTGGAGTTGAGGTGGTGGTTGAAACAGGACGTGTGGGGGTGGAGGCCTAGACGGGCCCGAACACTCACTGCTGCCGCCTCTGCTCCAGGCAGGGAAGGCTCCAGCTGCCACAGGGCCTGTCCACTTCTCACTGCTGGGAAGTAAAGAGGGGCATTAATGGCTGTTCTCCCTGCACTGTTGTCAGGAAAAGAAGAGAAAGAAAGGGCTTGTACCCCAGGGAAGAAGCCCATGCACCTATCTTGACTGTGGAGCCTAAGGAGGGTATTTTAAATTGTCTAGTCTCTCTCTTTACAAATGTGGAAACTGAGATTCAGAGATCAGCGTGCCGAAAAGGCCTTTGGGCTCGTGAGATTACATGTCCTACCCCAGAACCAGGGCTAGTCTCTAGAGGTGCCCTGGGAGGATGAGGAAGGCAACTTCTGTCTAAAGGTTGGTGCCGATGCAGCAGCTCCTAAGGATTAGGAGTGAACAGAAAAGGCACCAGGTTATGTTGTGGTGAGTGAGATGGTGGCTGCAGGACAAAACAAATTCAGAAGGGAAGTGGAGACAACGGTGCAGACAGATATACCCACTGAGCAGGTGCTACGTGCTGTACATGGTGGTCACATAAATAGGCTAAGTTCCTGCTCTCCATAAACTTAGTATCAGGTAGATGGTTCTGGGAGAAAGGGGGAAGCCACTGGAATCTGTGCTGCTGAGTGAGTCCTACACATGCTCCATCTTGCCCTTGATGGGGCAATCTGCGGGCAGGTCTTACCTCAGCTGATGCAAGTGCAACCACTTGCGTGTGCAGAGATGACCTCCCGGGCAGGCCTTGGAGCAGAAGCTTCCCTACATGCAGCTGAACTTGTGCAACGGGACAGAGACTCCCCTTGCTGCTGCCAGGCTCCAGCTGGGCACTGGGTCACTTGGCTAGTGATCAGCTTACCTGCTAGGCAGGGAGAGAACCAGTCAGCTGCTTCTGTGCCCGGAAGCCTGGTTTAGGAGCTGCAGAAGTCCGAGGGGAGAGAAGGAAGCAGCACTGCCAACTCCAGGTGTCCCTCCCCATTCCCAGTGGTGGCATTAAGATTCCTTCTTACCCTTTTTCTCCTTCATCTCTCCAATCCAGTCCTCTTTCCTGTGCTTCAGACCTGAAATTCTAGTTGCCTAATAACACAGGCACATGTCTCCACCTTCTACAGCCCACTTCTGTTAGGATGAGGCAGCTCAAAGCAAATAGGCCTTTTCTTTAATGACCTTTCTCTCTCACAGCCTTCAGTCACGGGCCCCTCTGAGTTGTGCCCCCTAAACTTGCCCTCCCTCTGGAGTTGTCTCCTACATTAGCCTTTGCCACTGTCCTGGAAGTCAGCGGAGAGAACCACGGCACCCACCTCTGGGCTCCCGGCACCCCCTGCCTCAGTGTTTGTCAAAAAGGAGCAAGGCAGGACCATGTCTCTTCTGTATGACATCTCCTGGCGGAGCCCCGGACCTCAGCTCCCATTCTTCGCGTGCAGTGGCCTCAGGGGCAAGTCTTCCACTTAAAACCTAAACATAAAGATGAAATCGGTTAACAAGCTCCTGTCTTTCAGTAACCTTGGAGGCAATGTCATCAATGAGGTGGTCCTGGGTCTGCTGAAGGCTGGATGGTCCCGGGAAGATATCACGATGGAACACTTGGGGTCCGGCCTCCAGGCTGAGATTGTGGCGTCCACAGGTAACTGACTCGCGGGTTCAAATGTGTGCTTTTGAGGCCCCACAGGACACTCAGGACACACCCTGTGATCATCTCCTCAGCTTCAGGGAGGCACAAGAAAGCGAACTCCTTTTCTGAAAATGGTTTGAGAGCAGTTTGCCCTGGCGATGCCGGCAGTGGCCTGTGGACCCTGGGGCTAGGCCTCCAGTCAGAGGGAAGGGGGCTCTACCTCCGGCCGGGTCACCCTTTCTAGAGCAGATAGTGCCTGATCCTCAGCCCGCCTGGGGTGGCCCTGAGAGCAAACCTTGCCCAGGCCTTCGGGTCAGGACACCTCTCACTCCAGTTGGGTCCAGATTGCCATGTTTAAGGTGACCAGACGTCCCGCTTTTGGTGGGACAGTCCTGATTTTTAACAATTAAAACAGTCTGCCAAAACCGGTTTGGCTCAGTGGATAGAGCATCGGTCTGCAGACTGAAAGGTCCCAGGTTCGATTCCGATCAAGGGCATGTACATTGGTTGTGGGCACATCTCCGGTAGGGGGTGTGCAGGAGGCAGCTGGTCGATGATTCTCTCATCGATGTTTCTAGCTATCTATCCCTCTCCCTTCCTCTCTGTGAAAAATCAATAAAATATATATTTTTTAAAATTAAAACAATCCGATAAGGGAACTGTTTTAAAATGCTGCCAGACTTGGGACAAATTGTTAAAAAGTGGGACGTCTGGCCACATTAATGTCACTGTGGTCTTAATTTCAGACAGTGGCTTTGGCCACAGCCGCCTGGTGAAGGAAAACTTGATTGACTTCTTTGTCCCCTTCCTGCCGCTGGAGTACCGCCATGTGAGGCTGTGTGCACGTGATGCTTTCCTGAGCCAGGAGCTCCCATATACAGAAGAGGCACTGGACGAAATTGCCAAGATGATGGTGTATGTCCCCAAAGAGGAACAACTCTTTTCTTCTCAGGGATGCAAATCTGTTTCCCAGAGAATTAACTATTTCCTGCCTTGAGAGCAAGATGAAAACCTGAAAGTGCCTAACAGGATCCTGGGGTCAGCAGACGCCCAGCACTCACTAACGTAAGTGGTGTGTGAAAGGAAGGCCTTCAATCAGAAGCCAGAGCCACATTCCAAAATGTGGGCCAGTGGCTGGAGAACTCCAAGTAGGAGGAAACACATCCCAGTGGCTTCTTACCATCTCTGCTCTTGCCTGCAGCTGCTTGGACTTGGGTGTGGGACCTGAGGCTGCAGGATTCTCCGTGACACGAAGGGAAAAAAAGTTCTTACCGTGGTAGGTGGGGCTGGCTTTCACGTTGTTGCTCTCAGAGGGAAGCTGAGCAGCTTGTACCTGTGACCACAGCAGGGAAGAGCCTTGGGCTGGAAAATAAAGGTACATAGAATGATGTGTTAAAAATGTCGGTATAGGCTGAAATTTGTTCTGCAGGTTAAAAACATTTTATTTAAAGTTAAGGGCCTTGACATCACTGTGCCATATGTAAAAATTAAAATTTTCTATTTTTCTAAATCCTTCAGCCTAATTTCTTTTCTTTCTTTTTTTCCGTATTTTTAAAGCACCCCAAGGGATTGTGATACCAATCCCTAAGGCTCTGCTACTCCAAGTGTGGTCTAAAGTATCAGCACATTGCCCTGGCCAGTTTTGCTCAATAGTTAGAGCGTTGGCCCTCAGACCAAAGTGTCAATGGATTCAATTCCTGGTCAAGGGCACAAACCTCAATTGCGGGTTCATGCCCCAGGTGTGCATACAGAAGGCAACCAATAGATGAATCTGTCACATCAATGTTTTTATCCCTCTTCTTCCCCCTCCCTCCCTTCCACTCTGAAAATCAATGGAATCTCCTCGGGTGAAACATACATACATACATCACACATCATAGAGAACTGGTAAGAAATGCAGAATCTCATTCCCTACCGTAGACCTACTGAATCAGAATCCACAGTCTAACAAGACCCCTGAAGATTAGCATACAGCTTAGTATGAGGTGTTGATCTAAGGCACACAGGCTGTTTCTGGGAGGACAGCAGACCAGTCCTCCAATTAGGGCTGGCTCATCTATTCTCCCTCCCCACACACCTCTTAAAGCTGTAGAACCCTTTTAAGTGTTTCCTACATAGTCTGTCCTCAAGGGTCTGGGCCTCACTGCCCCCATGCTGTGGCCATCTTTTCACGGATACTTTGTTGGAAGGTCTGGGCACATAAACAGTGTAATGAATCAACAGGGAGTTGCAGGCCCTTCCTGCCAGGGACGACTGGGCTTCAACTGAAGGTGTAAAGATGTGCAGGTTGAACAGACGGACAGACTTGCTTTATGAATTTCTGGAGCCAGAGGAAGTTAAAGGGAGGGAGGTTACAGTTTACTGTGCCAATCAGTCATGAACGCAAGTTTGGTTAGACACAAACTATTGTTCATGCACAATTTCTGTGCTGGTCTCTACTAGTTTAAAAGCTCAGTGAGGTCAGTGGCTGAGCTACCTGTGGAGTTCATATTATATGGTCTAGCATACTACAGCATCTGCCCAGGAAATATGTTTACTAGAATATAAACAGCTGACATGCCCATTAAGTCCTTGTCTCTTACTGGTAATTTTGTGCACTGTAGATTAGGCACAGCCTAATTTCTTAATGGGACCTAGTAATCCTGTTCACTCAGCCCGATGCCGGGGGACGGGGTGGGGACTCACCAAGCTGACAGCAGGTGTCTGTTCTGCCGGTTTACTTCAACTTCGTACTGAAAAGGCTTCCTTCATGTGCTCTTATATAAGGAAAGGATGTCACTCCCATGCTCCCAGCTTTGAAAAGTCGTTTTTGAGAACTGAATGGCCACGTGTACACTGTGCCCTAGACACTGACGAGTGCTCACACCCACTTCTGAATTCCACACAGGCCACTGTCGCCTCCGAGTTAGAGCCCTCACCGAGCAGGGTGAAGTGGCAGACTCCCGTCTCCCCCCACGGACACCTCACAGTCCTCTCCCCTCATTGCCTCCTGGTGAGGGAGCGCCGAGCCCGAGCCACCGCAGGTCCCCAGGAAACACTCACGGAACAGAAGTAAACGCCCTAACAGCACCGGTTCGCTGGGCCGGGCTGTCACTGTCTCAGGCTAGAGCATCGGGAGGGAGGAGCAGGCCGCCCGGTCCTCATGCCCAGCTCTGAACGGCAGCGCACACTGTGAGAGGCGCATTCCACAGCTTCGGGTTTGAGTCGCAGCGGGCACCCTGTCCGCACTGGCCAGCCATGTCTGATGTGACTATAGGTTTGAACCTCTTACAGCCCGGGAACAAGACAAACAGTGAGTCAGTGGTTCCGAACACTTGACTGGGGCCGTGTGCCTTGCACCCCCTTCCACTGGGCGATGACAGGAAAGCTATTAACCCCAGCATGATCTGGTTTCCACTTTTGTGAAAGTGAGCACAACTGTACTTACCTCATAGGGATGCTGTGAGGATTAAACTTGTTAATACTGATCAAGTACTCAGGTAACAGTACAATAAAAACGTGGTAAAACTGCTGTCAGTTTTGACACCGCTCCAAGCCATGGCTGCCCTTGTCCATTCTAGTTCTTGGAGCCTGGCTAGATAACCAACATCTGAGAACTTACCATGTGCTGGGCCCGTGCTAAGCGCTGGACAACCATCATCTTGACCACGATGACTGAGGGACCAATTCCCTTGCTGTTTAATAAGACACCTGGACTCCGAGGGGTGCGAAGTCAGAGCTCTTGCCAGGAGTGGGGGGTTTGAGCCAGGCATTCCGACTTTAGCTCCTGTGCTTTAAGGACTTGTTTCTAAAACAATTTCCATATTTCCTCAGCAAATGCCACAGCCTCAGTTGTGGAAATGAAGGTTCTCCTAACCAACCAAAGCAGACAGGAGAAAAGGACGGGGGCAGGTGGAGTGAGAGGGTTACAAGCTGATGTTTAACAGCCACTAATGACCTCACAGGGCACCACCTGAGTACTTCCTACTCTTAGGTAATGAAAACATGACGTCTAAAAGCAATGGCTCATTTTTAAATACTTTAAGATCAAGTCAAACAAGAATAGAACGTTCCCTGTGAGGTTCTACACCTACTCTCTTTATGCTGTTTGGGCTCAAAACACTTTTAGAACTTATTTGTAGTTGTCCTCAAAATGGACTTGGAAAGAACTACATCTCATTATTACAGTCACCTCACATGGGACGGACTGACGGACAGACAAGACACACATACACACTTACCCACCTGATGTACCAGCTGGACTCCAGATGTTGCCTTTGGCCGTTTTCAAAAACAGAATCATCAAAGGAGAAGTGTTCACCCCTACAGAGGATATTCTACAGAATCACCAGAGGGATGATTGCCAAACCCAGCTTCTTGACCTTACAGACATTACCCACAAATTCTGCTCAGATTCCCTGCCAGTTGAAATGATGGAGAAACACTCCAATCAAAAGCCTTCTTTGCCAATAAAATATTGCAACCTTTATTTAAAATAAAACACAAGTTGGCAAGCCTTGTGAGACAACAGGCAGACAGCATTCCCCTTTGCAGGGCCTCCTTTATTTACATCAAGTTTAACACTGTTAGCAGTTCACAGTCAGACAACAGGGTGAGAGAATTAAATTAGAAAACAAAACACCTGAAAATATATTACAATAACAAGAGCAAACCTGACAACACCGGCAGTGTGACCCATGACTGATGTGTTTTCAGTTAAATCCCGTGTTGTCTCACTGTGTCCCCTTAGCAACGTGCACAGTGCCAGGCCCTCCAGACCTCACCCTCTGTGCACCCACCACATGCACCTGCAGAGCGTGACCTTTGGTATAAACGTTGAACAAGTTTTGAAGAATCTGAAGCCTATGTTTTAGGACAAAATTCTCTAATTGGTTTTTGCCAAGTGAACATAAAACTGGGTTCCTCCACTGACAGTCACAGAATCAAACTACAGAGAAGGAAGAGTATGGGGTACACCCAGGAGACAGGCTCTGAGCACAGACAACAGCTCAGGCAGCCTGTTCTCCGCAAACACACCACCAGGGCACAGCTGCTCACACCGAGAGTGATCCTATCACCTCCTTTCTTACCCCCTTCTTAGTGAGCACGGCAACAGTGTATGCACAAAGCGTGGGCATGGCATGTTCTCTCTACAGACCCGAGATAGGAGGGTTTTCAAACATACGCCCTAAATAGCTATGAGTACCTCAGTGTCCTTTCCAGCTTCTGAATACTGCTTTCTCTGACGGGCAATTAGCCTAATCAAGCTGACTTCTCCAGATCTCTGAAAATTTCTCTCCTAAAGGAGTTCCAAAAACAGGGGCCATCGTGTGAAATAGCTTTTCAAAATGAAGGAAATCCAGGCCTCATCTACCAGAAGCATCTCTGCCTCTGGGCATTGCTGCCCCTCTGCACACAGGCCAAAGGGATCCGAGTCCCACAGAATAGGGGCTGGTCGCCCAAAGCAACGCCGCTCCTGCAGTGTCTCCCGAATCCAGAACACACTGATTTGGCACACCTGTGTTATTGTTGTAACTGCTGAAATAACTACCCTTACATACGATTATTTTATTAACCAGAAGTCTCATTCTCCAACTAACGTTCATGGTGCTTAAACACATGATTTAATACCATCTTAAGCCTCAGAAGCAAATCTATACAAGCTCCAACCATACATACTATATTTCCTTTAAGTCTGCCAGCACCCGACAGTTCATTTCCACTGTATCCGAAAAATTAACTGGAATGCTCCAAGACCTCAAGCCCTGTGTGTACAGCCCAGAAGTATGAGTGACATGTAGGACCCAGAAACTTGCTTTCAGTACAACGATGAACAAAGAAAAGACACAAAGGGGCGGTACAAGGTGTGGTCTGAGGACAGTATTGGTCTAGCCCAGTGGTCGGCAAATTGTGCTCTAGAGCCGCGGTTTGCCGCTCTGTTGACTAATGAGTTTGCCGACCACTGGGATAGGGGCTTAATCACAAAAAAACAACAGCCTGAAATTATTGGAACCGAGA